CAGCTGCACAGCAAGACTGGATGTATTCTACACTGTCATTGTCACTTTTTTATTCCTCTAGCCTATACACACAGCAGTCTATCTACTTGTTTTGCTGATTAAAATATATTGTCCAATAGAGACATCAGTGTGAGTTAGGTTCCAAGCACTCTGGCAATCAAAAGGGTATTAAACAAGAGGCTATAAAACTGGTCAAAGTAACCACACAAGAAAATGGCCAACACTTTTTTTTCCCCACAGCCAAAGGCCACATTCAACACATCAGCATATGCTGTAGCTCAGTGTTATAATACAGCTTCTATTACAAAACAGCAGAAGGCCTACATTCAGCATGCACATAAGTCCTATTCCCTTGTTTTCTGTTATATTATGTCAGACTAATAAAAAAAAAAAAAAAAGGAAAATAAATAATTTATAAGCATGTTATGATAAAGATTTTCTTTTATTCCCTAGGAAGCAAGTGTATTTTTTTCCTTCTCTTCTAATCACAGTACACTTACGGATTATATTCATAACAAAACTTGATATTGTTTCTTGTTATATGTGCATATGTACTACTAGTCAATGTGAAATCACTTGAGGTTCCATAAAAAAAAATGTAAGCAATCAAGGTATTTGCAAGGTATTGATAAGGTAAAAGGTACTCACCAATATCTTTCAACAGAAGCTGAATGTTTACAGTGTATTCTGCACATTGTGTTTTTTGGTTTGTTTGTTTTAAGGAACCACAGACTATATTAAGGATGTGCTTGACTTTACATCTACTTTTTCAAACCTTTGTAAAATATCTTTTTTCTTACTACCACCCCACATTTCTCACACCTTCTGTTTTTTTAGCTTTGTTCCTTCAAACTTAAACATTTAGTGTAACATCTTCTGATGCAATTTGTACAAATCGTTGCTTGTAGGACAGCAGGTGTCAAAACAGTTCAACCAACTACTCCAGAACTGCTGCATTATTTCAGAATCTTATAAAGTCAAAAAATGTGCCCCGTAGCTATGTGGGTATCTTACAAAGAATACCATATGCCAGCTGTAAATGCTACCACGAACAGCACAGATTGTGCTGGTTTGTCAGCAGTTCTTCAATCTCACAGCAAGAAGTACAAGGCTCCTGGGAAATCGATAGTTACTTTTGCTTGTGTTTCTCCCCTCTTGGATTTTTCAAAAATTATCTAGCACAAATGTGAACATGGCCACAGTCACAGAGCAGAGTCAGGCCAAGTTTCAGCAATATCACAATTCTAGACACACACGGCCCAAAGAGTAGAACAACTGCATGAACAGGATGAATGAAGACATTCTATATAACACAGTATACTCCTCTGAAATACAGCTACACAGTAAGGAACACGAGTTAATTTATCTGAAGGAAGGTCTATATAAAGAAATATACAGAGAGCAAAACTTCCCTTTGGACTAGAATTACCTTCTCCTTTTCTATTTCTGACAAGATTTGAAAAGTGATGGAGGGGTAACAATCGCACTCTTTGTACATCTACTTAATATCCAAATAAATTAAATAGGCTAGTATTCTTTCTATATAAAGTACTTTCTTTTAACATGTTCACATGGAAAGTAACATGAAATAATTTGAGGGGAAAAAATAGTATTTCAAATAATTATTTTATGGTTGGCATAAATCTGTTCATCTGCTCCTTCTGAAAATCTGGCAGATGATGTGCTTTAAGAATCTGATGAAAATTTAATATATGTATTATATATGACTGTATAACATGCATATATATATACACACATGTGTACAGGCAAGCCTCAATTTCCAAGACAACATATGGTGCATAGCTTGCTTATTACAGAGCAGCAAAAGCACTGCCTTCTGAGGCACACTTCCCGTACCAGTAGAAGCCATCTGATAGCAAAACTGCAAATTCGAGCTGTGTAGGCCTTCAGCTCCACCAAATTAGTCAAGTCTTTTTGACAGACTATTAGAGACTGAGCAACATTTTTCCTGAAGAAAAAAAGTATGAGAGCTGGAACTAGAGCTGGTCTAAGCTCCATCTGATATCCAGTAAGAAAGTGTGTCAAAAGCAAGAGAAATAGAATTCTTCTTTACATGAACTAAGCTGTGCTGGAACAGACATTGCAACAGGTGTGTGACTGATTACCAGGGATTAGAGGAAAGGGTAAGAAATAAAACCTAGGAGGAAGGCTAATAAATTGTCATTTAATTACACCGCTCAAACGAAACTCCACAATACAACAACAACAACAAAAAAAAAAGCATGAAAGCAATCACTTTGCCAAGTTATTGTTTGCTGACAGCAAACCTCATAGATTTTGCCTAATTTTCAGATAGGCTGAACTCCTTTTGAGAGAGAGGGAAAATTCATGGCATGCAGCCCCTCTAAAAATTGAGTTTCATGTTGCTATCTACCAAAAAGTAATACAGAAATACACTCTAGACTGACAGAAACTGCCAAAATGCATAAAACAAAACAGGTGGCAGATCAATGCTATGGCACTAACATCCAATATGTGCCAAAAGAAAAGCAGAAATACTTTGATCAGCTGTGGGGTCTAAACTAAACTCTGAAAATTAACCAAAGATGCTTCACAGACACTGGAGATTGGAAGAAGACTGGAAACAAGTGGTATTTCATGAGGCATGTATTGGCAAGACAAAGAACTACTGCCGACCACATAGGCCAATTTTCTACAGTGCCAGGCAGAAGTGAGCCTTCCTTTTAAGAAACTGAGAGTGTGGAGTATTCACATGTACCATACATGCACATTACAGAGTACTGTGCACGCTGTGGAATGATGGCAGCCCTTTGCTCAGAAGTGCTCAGCACTTTGTACGTCAAACCTAGGGAATTAAAAATAATAAATAAATAAATAAAAATGGCAACAGCTGACCATGAGCCAATAAATGACCATGCTGTAACGAGACGTGTGTAATATCCCACAAGTAAGGGAAAGGCTTAGCCATGCAACTTGGTCAACTTAGCTGGTGAAGGTGGAAAGAACAAGAGGGTAAGACACAGTGCTTCAGAAAGTCTGCTTGGTCCCACAGGCTGAGCTCCAGCTCTTACCACCACATTAGGCTGGAGCAAGCAACTAGGAGGAGAGAGGATGTTCTTAAAAACAGAGTCATAATCACTGCATCTGTTTGGACTTAATGTTCTCAGAGCTGCTTTAAAGAGGTTTCACACTGACAAGCATTTTGTGCGTGAGCACATAAGAGAAAGAGTGAGTCAGTACTAGAGTTAGCAATTAAATCCACACTCTGACCTATGTATTCAAAAATACACCATCAGACCTTCTGAAGTGGGCTGGTTGGGAGATGGGATAGAGTGCTCTTGCCCTCAGTCTTTGGTTCAAATATCAGTTGAGTTCGGGGTTTTATTTCAAAAAAAAGACTCCTGGTAGATCTGTGGCATTTTATGTGGAGCACAGTGGTGACAGCATTCCATTCCTCTTAACACAGACTAGTCTCCCATCAAATCAGCCCCACAACTGTCACCTTTTACCAACTGTGCTGAAAGCAAATAGAATGATGAACAGTCTTTTTTCAGAATATTGCAATGCTGAAGAGAATATATCCATCTACAGGAAAAAGGAAACCTAAATTACACATAAACCATCTGAATAAATCATCAAACACGGAGCACTTTATCTGACTCCACTGTAGTGCTGAAGGGCTATACCCCAAAAGGTAAAGCACCAGTGGGAAGTTAGATGCATCATCCCACTTTCAAGAATCATCTTGATTTCACTTAATAAGCTCCCACTATAGATCACCACACTGCCAAAATCTTACATAATGGAATGATACATTCCCTGGGCTTATAAAAAGTTCACATGAATTTTATTTGTCTCCATCTTTTTTGGAAGTCTTCTAAGAACAACAGTACCATCAAACATCAGAGGCAAATTCTGACCAGCATCCACCTGTGAAGACTAACATGCAGGCTCAGAAAAGAAACCCTGTCTCCATTATCCACAACAGTTTTCATACTCACATTCCTAGCATAGGAGTCCATAAAAAAGCAGAAAGGAGAAATGTCAGCACATTCATACTATCAGAATATTACTGATTCTATGGGATTATACATTTAAGACTTATCATAAATTTCATAAAACTATTCATCCGTTAGCTTGCAAAAATAGAAGACATAGTAATCCTAAAAAAGATCCATAAACCACCATACATTTTAAGACAGCCTGTTTTCCAGAGCCAATTAAGATATCTACTGTACCTTAGATGCATACAAAGTTAAGCACTTAACTTTAAAATTCACAAACTCCTGAAAAGACATCTTCATATTTTATTTGAGATAGGCTTCTTTAGTTTAGATTAATGCTCCTTTTATTTCCTTTAAGCTAAAACAAGCTTTCTTCACCTGAAATAACAGAAAATATACCAAGATTTTCAGCAGTTTTTTATTAAATTGTTTTACGCTCATATTCTGGTTTTAACCTCTGCAATTCCCCATGGTGACAATGTCATCAATCGCCTTCACGGGACACCAAAGCTTTTTATATTTATAGTCACACTCAGTCAGGCTGCAGTGCACAGACATCATAAATCTACAGCAACATGAAACATCAAACAGGTAATTTTGCCATACGCCTTGGTGGCATCAGAAATAAAGCTCAGAACTTCATGCTTCGAAGTGCCATTCAGAGTGAAGGCATCCCCGTGTGCAGTTCAGAGCAGGAATCCACATGAGGCAATGCGCCACAGCTTGCCTTGTGCCATGCTGCCTTTTCAGACAAAGAATCTAGATATCACCTACTTGTCAGGAACCTATCAAAGACAATGTTCTCTTCCTCATCGTTGCTTTTCCCTCCATCAGATCAGCTACAACTTGTTTTTTGGAACTGATCTCAGAACTACGGATCCCAGAGCTGGGATACTCATGCCTGCCCATTTTAAGGGCTCCACAGGTCACCACCTGCGATGTGCCAAGCTGTGTGCTGCAGTGGGACATTAGGCCCTTGCTCATGAGAAAACACCAACCAGGTGCTACACCCACCTTCACAATCAGACTCTGGTGCTCCTCAGACTGACTGAAGTTCGTGCCTATTTCAAAGATACTCATCTTTCCTTCCTCACACAGGCTCATCCAGGCGTGATATTCTTCATGCTCTGGCAGTCTCTCCCAGAATATCTTGAAGACCTCCCAGACTGTTTCCTGACACACTGTAGGCACAAAAAAGGTCTGGTGTTAGTACAACAGGAGTGCTTCCATGGCATGAGCGGCCAGGATAGTATTGTCCAAATCCTGTATTCTTTTCAGTAGATTAATATATAGAACGCAGTGACTACACACCTACATGTAAATGTGTAACGTGTTGAAGGGACTGACAATGAAGATCTTGTGGATCTTCCATGCTCATATTACTTAACTCCCTGTTTGTTTGTTTTTGGTTTTTTTTTTTTTTTTTTTTACTGAAGTAATTAACTACTTCATTAAAGAAAAAATTAAGAAAGCAAGAGAGAGTGCACTTGTCTCCTAACAACCATCAAGAATGATGTCTTCACCAAGAGAAACTGCCCTAGATCAATGAGTCAAATTGTTAGATAATTTAGAAAACCAAAATAGTGTGGCAAAGTCACAGAAAGTAGACCTGGAGCTTAATTTGTGAGAATGATAGTGGCATCAATCAAAGTTTTAGATGCTCTATCAGTAACAATTGCTTTGGACTCACCTTTTCCTGGAATTTAAATTAAATTTCAGAAGTTATAATCGCATTAATAATTTGAAAAACGAGACAGGATGACAACACAACAACATAATATCCCAAGATATAAGTCAATCTCTAACCCTACTGTATGCATGAACTGAGAAAGAACCAGACCATCTCTGACTGAACAGACAGTCTGTGAATTAAGGGTTAAATTATCCTGTACTACACCAGATGCTTTAGCCTCCCAATCTTGCATGTGCTCTTTGCCAAACAGAGCAGTTGGTCACGCAATGTTCAAGCAAGAACCTCTCTGTGACCCAGGATATCTGGAAGAGAGAAAGATTTATAGGAGACTGACCATGAATCTATCTTCAGAAAGTAACTTTCTTCAGTCAGTTTAAAAATAAGCTCCAGGCTGCCAAAACCAGTACCTTACTGCTATTTCTTCTTGATACTCTGTATTCTGAATTCCAAAACTGACTAAATGTACTTGTGTAAAACTTCACGCATAGGTCATGTATGGGAACATACTTTCATTCAACCAAGAGATGGACGTTTTTCTTAAATGCAAATGCTTTATAAAAGATTTAAGGAACTGTTTCACATGTAGCAGCACCCTTAAGGCTTCACTGATTCTGTCATGCTGGATGGCACAATGTAGAAAAATCTCTTTTCTCTACCCCCAAACTTCAGTTTATGAGAGCAATTGGGACTATTTCTCCACTGTGGGACTCTACAGATACACAGATATCTCTCATTGCCATGCCACACTGCTGACGGCTTTCCTACATTAGTCTTGTAGCTCATTTGATATGAATGACTAGTGAAGAGTCCTCAAACTCTGCATTATTAACTGTCAGTAGAATATTACTGCTCTAGCACCCCTCCAGCTTCCGGGTAGTTAACTTTATCTGTAAGACACAGCAGTTAGGTAAGGAGTATTGGAGATGCTTCCTATCAGGTTTGCTTATCCATCTTTATTAATCAGAAATAAATAGTCACATTTACAAGTACCCATGCACCCTCTCACACTCCCCCTCAAGCTATGATTGCTTCCTCAGCAGCTGAGGAAGCAAACTCTTTGAGGCAGAAACCACATTTTCATATGACCTCTGCACAGACCTCAGGCAATGAAGCCATAATCCTGCTCTGGGATTTCTGCTGGAGTGCTAATAAGCTTCCTGAAGCAGAATGATACCTGCAGTATCCTCTCTCCCATCCCACTTGTAAAGAATACCACTAACTCTCATTTCTTTTGGCAGTACTTGTGTCCTGCATTCTGACTAATGGATCTTTCACTCAGGTGTAACATTCTACAGCAACAATCCTGCAATGAAACTATTCCCTGTGGCAAGTCTTCAGCAAAGTATCAGTAAGAGTTGAAGCTATGGCAATAGCTTGCAAATACATTGCAGTAGCACTGTCTAATCCTACAGTTTTCAAATGGTAAGAGACAAAGGACTGACTTTCCGGTTGCAAGTAATTGGCAGTAATAATTGAAAGCAGTTTTCCTTAATGCTCTTAAATAAATTTAATCTCTTTTTTAAAATAAATGTGATGAGACAGTGTCTTGCCTGAATACAGGCTGCTGTTGTATGAACAGTAGTCCCAATCAGCTCCCAATAGATTAAGGATTTGTTGCGTGTCCTTTCATTTGGAATTAGACACCCCACTGAATTCCAGCCCCAAAGGCTTTGTGCCATCTGTGGGCTCCAAGCCCACTAAATCAGACCAAAGCTGTCAGAAGAGGGTCATATTTTCTGTGAAACAAGGAAAGGGGACATGGGGAAGGAGTCGTATTCTCTCCTCTCTAGCCTATGTCCTATCTAGCTGTAACCACTGCGGTAAGCAGTAACAAGTTGGACAACATGGTGCAAATTGCTTCTGTATTCAGAAGGAAAAGGCTGGCCCATGTCGTCCTCCTGAGTAGTCTGAGAGCTTGTTAGTTGACACACAGGGAAGGATTAAAAACTCCCAGCAAACAACTACGATGACTGCCATTTAAACACCTTTGTTAGCCTCGCCCTGGGAACTCCATCCTCATGCACGGTGAGTTGCTTACCACACACAGTCACCCCACAACCTTGTTGACACACAGTCTGTCTTGTCACTGTCCTGCTTTATTCCAACTGGCCAGTTTGTAAAGCAGGGGATTGCTTTGCAGGATATCCCAGGCTCTAAGGGCTCAACCCGAGAACCATCCCCAGGCACGCCTACCTATATGGTATTCAAGAGTAAATTCATAGCCTGGCTAGGGAAAGGAACAATTTTGTTTCTGTCTTTCTTTCCCATACCCCTTTTCAGTGTTTTGTAGTTAGATGTGAGCTGCCACTTCAAGCACAGAAAAAGAACAGCGCGGTTTCTTCAGTGTGGTTCAAATCATGCCCACGTAAAGAAAGAGACAAGCATGATTCTATCTCCCATCTCTCCTTCAGGTTTGCCAAAGAGGGAGCCGGTTCTTACCCTGACTTCATTGACCTGGCCACCCAGGGAACTGAAGAGACCACACCCTCACAGTGCATTCAAGTTCCCTAATAAATGTGATTAACCTTCTTTTAACTCAAAGGTGGAGCCCACCCATGTAGCATGTTTTCCACTATCTGCTGGCCAGGGAAGTTTTTCAAAGTTTATCATCAACAAATTATGGAGAACTCCTATATAAGAAAAACACGATTTTCATAACCAGATTATAAGCATTCTGACACTCTGTAGACAAATGTAAACAAAGTTAAACAGGACTTGACTGGCAACTTCAGTAAATAACTATATTTTACTGTATAAAAATAATTCCCTGTCTTTCTGACCTTCCGACAACTTGCTAGTATCTGTGCCACATATACTATCTACATATGCTGACAATACATGAAGCAACTTTTGACTAAAAATAGCAACTCCTTGAAACCAAAATAGAAAATAAATGAGAGTTGGGGGGTGTGTTGTGTGGTGGTGGTGGGTTGGACAAGACAACACCAACCAGGTTTACCAGTAAGCTTTTTGACTAGCAATGTAATTTTAAACTTTAAATAGAAAATATTTAAAGTATATAGGGAATGGAAAAAAAATGTAGCATCAGAGCTTACAATAAATTGTCAGGAGTCCAACAGTTCAGAGTTATGAGTGAAACTGCTTACTTAATACAACATGCTGTGTTAACATACTCCAACTATTAAGTAAAATAAATCTGCTGCACAGACTTTTTGTTATGATCTTTTCCAGAAATTAAGGTTCTAAGACTAGCTACAAAATCCTTAAAAACCAGCCAACCAAGCAGCCAGCCCTTCCAGGATCAGGAAGGCACTGCTGAGCAGACCCAGCAGTGCTGCCACACGCCACCCAAACCACAGATCAGCCCGCAGGGCATATGAGAACAGCCCAGGTAGATCTCATGCCAAACTTTCAGTAGCCTGCTACAGGGATAGCCACAGACACAGATATATGGGACAGCATTAGCAACACCAGGCCCTGGAGGAGACAGGATTTGCAATGAGGCATCTAATCCCTGGCAAAAAAAACTGATTAAAAGCATCATAAAATCGAGATCAATCTTTTAAGGCGGTGAGCTAAAAGCCTTGAAGGTACACGTGGGTGGGAAAGTAAGCTCCTCTAGGAAACTACTTCCTTCATTCCATGGCTGCAGTAACAAGTAACTTGTATTTTAGTGTTAACTGATCTCTCGGCTACTTTGCAATTTTCCTCTGAAGAATTCAAATGTTAAAAAAATTAAGGCTTACGAGATAGAGGGGCTCCCTGCTACAAAGATATGATCGTTCCAGCTGTCTACAGGAAAGGAAGCAGCTATGCAAAAGACATGTAACTGACTGACACAATAAACCAGAATTCAAACTGAGAACACAAACCATATGGCTTTTCCTGCAATTTTTCTCCAAAGTACATTTTGCATGCACATACTACATTTTGCATGTACTCCATTCCTGAAATAACTCAGAAGTCACTTAACTCATCACTGAAATAAATATCTTCAAGGTGAGAAAGGAGATAGGAAAAATTGAAAGATCAGCATGTTGGCCCATGTTCTTGTGCAAACTTCCACTTCAGCAATATATCACAGGCACTTAAAGTAGGCAAGGTCTTTACAGGTTTCAAAGGCTGCCTCAGAAATCCAGACGTGTAGTAAGACCATGTGAATCCCAGCATGCCTACTCCGGAAGCCAAGAAGCCCAGGCCTTGGGAGCTTATCTGCTTCAAATGCACTGTTTACATTCAAGTAATACTTATAAATAATAGAGAAATCCTGAAAATCTTAAGGCAAATTGTGTTTCAGCCCTCAAAAAAAATCCACACAGGTAAGCACAAGCTCTTCCCAGCCCTATAAATCTGCAGGAAGGGGTGAAAAGAAGTTTATTTGAAGGTTCCTTTCCTAAATTTTCCTTCATTGTTTTCAAAACCTCCAGCTAAAATCTGTGATGAGATGGTACCTCTCCCTCCCTCCCTCTCTGAGATATTCTCCTGTATGGCTACCTCTCATGCACCTGGGTACGATGCAGCATCTCTGTGGTTCCAGCTTTACCACTCAGGATGCATTTATCTCTCAAATGAGAGACAATTAGCCTATTACACTCAGTCTGTGCTCAGGGATTTCTGAGGTTAACAGAAGGGGCACCACAGGACAGCACTGGGCACCTAGCAGGGGATACGATGGCTTTCTGGCCAGTTGTGTAAGTGGGCAGTGCTAGAGTTTAATCCCTGTTAAATCCCTTTAGTGCTTCTTAAGAGTTGAATCATGTACAGTGTCTAGGAGCACCGAATCAGGCTGAACATTCTATTTTGAGGCAATATGAGGACAACTCCTTCTCCTCTAACAATTTCTTCACAACCTGAATGTCTTAATTGCAGTGGGTTTTGATAAGGATTATGACGACAAGGAGATTGACAGACACCTCCTACGAGATCTTTCCTGAAAAGGCTTCATTAGCACTTGCTAAATAAATTAATATGCATACATGCAGAGAAATTACTTCATCTATTGCTGAAATGCTGCTGTGTATGGCCTATAACATAGCAACCCTTAATATGCATGATAAATCAGGATTTCAAATCAAAATAGTTGAATGTGAATTAGCTAATCCACACAAAAGATTTTTTTTCTTTGAACACTAACATACTAAACTCTAGCATATAAACAATTCTCACCAGTAATATTTCAGTAACTACAAAGGACTGTCTTTCATAGGAAAAGTCAATCTTTTTGGAGGCATAAACTGACATCTAAAAATTCAAATGGAGACAGAACTAGACCTTCTACAAATAAGCTTCAGAAATTTATTGGCCAAGGATGAGCTATGCATAATATGTGCCAGGGCTGAGGGGGAAACAAGGAGAAAAGGCTCACTCAGCCAGACAATTTATTGTATGCTTGTTTAGCCAGGTACTTTTTATGACTTTTGACTGTTCGCTTTCATCATTACTCAGCAAAATTTGAATAATTTGTAACATTTAGGATTTCAGCATCAAATTGAAGCTTCACTCTTAACTCTATCTGTGTGCAGAACGTAACATCACTATTTCTAACGCCTCAGTAAAAAGATTTAGTGACCCAAAAAAGGGGAAAATGAGAAAGCTCAGCGCTATGCCCAAGATTATCAAATCTAGGGATTATTATCAAGCATAGAACTTCATTCCTGAGAAATACCTTTTATTCTTTCCAAAGTTTCAAAATGTTCTTGCCTCAACAACTATGACACACTAGCATAGAGTCTACTTCCTTCCTTGGTCACTATCTTTAAACAGCATCTTTAGATTTGCAGCTTCATCTGAAGCTCTGTCTGACAAAAACAGTTCTGGCAGAGACACTATCTGATCTACTCATGTGAAAAAGAAGATATACTAACTCATGAGCATACACTGAATTGTTGAAGACTGTGGATCACAGTAGGAAAAAATGCAAACAAAATTTAAGAAAGGTAGCCACCAGAGTAATCACATCTAGGAGGTGGCAAAGAGCAGCAGTATTAACCCTGAGCCATGGTGTCAAAATCCAGCAACCTTTGTTTTACCCAATTAACAGGCATAGGATAGGCAAATGGTGCAAGCCATGATACCTTGCAATCCTTATCTTGTTTCTATTTTACCAGCTAATTCAATTCCAAGTGTCCTCCACTTATGTACCTCTATCACAGGTAGTTGAGGGGTGACTGCAGTTAATGCACGTAACATGGATTAATTTTGAGCAAAACAAAGAACAGTTAAGTGTTACTGGCTAGACATAAGCAAGAAGCTTGCAACTCCTGTCAAACTGTCTATGTGATCACTGTCGACATCCCTCACATAATTCCACTTTGATTTCCAAATTCTTTATGTTTACTTTCATGAAACCACTCAGCAACTCCCCATTTTAACTGTTTTCCACTGATTTAAGTGAATAAATTGAGTTACCAGTGGGAGTTTCTTCTATAGTCAATCAAAAAAGTCTCATTAAATATGAGTCTCTGAACACCTTTGCTTCTCCTTTAAGTGACAGCAGCTTTTTCCCATTTCACCAGTTACACGCAAAAAAGTTAAGACACTATGAACTGTTTGAATACCACAATGCAGACAGACACAAATACCTGAAAGTGCTGCACAACCTCGACACCCCATTCCAATGTTGCCAGACAGAAGGATTTAAAATACATCATAGAGCTGTAATATTTCATGACATGAAAGAAGCCATTACTGGGAATAATTCAGCTTTTCAGAGAAAGCTCTGTCACACCAATATCTACATCTAAAAAAAAAAGGCTTCATCTCTATTATACTACAGCCTGATACACAGAGATTGGCTTTCTAGACAGAATATATGCTGCTTTGCACAACAAGCCATAGTCAAAAGTCACATGGCTGAGACACGAATGTCTCGGACTTGACTCTTTTCTGAAAGATCCCTTGGTGAATTCTACTAGAACTTGAAGAACACTAAATAAAAACAATAATCTCTGTCATTTAGCTAACCTGTACTTAACACGTATTTTTCTTAGCATCCAAATTGTTCCATGAGAAAAGATAAGTAATTATTAAACATTAACTGTGGTTTCAGGGATTGAGAGTTTTCATGATATATGAGTATAACCAGAAGGTGGGTTTTTAGCTCAGAACAGCTCTCATAAGGAAGATTATCACAGAAAACTAAGTTTCTTGGGTAACAATGTATTTTCTATGGCCTAGTATTTATTATGTTTAAAAGCATCATCTATTTTTTTTTAATAAATAAATATTCTTTGTCAATTATGCATTGAGACATACATTCACTTACCTCTGAGCTTGAAATATTTCAGATGGCTGGCAATAGCCTGCTCAACAGATTCATCAGGGCAGATCTTAATTCCAGTGGGAAACAGAATGGACCGCTTCCTTCGTAACAGCAAAGGCTTGTTGACCTGTTCAGCCTCCACGATGCCATTAAGCTTTTTCAACTCAAGAGGCAGAGGAGGGTTTGCCAACTGCCAGCCACTGAGCTGAGGGGTTAGCGAACCACCTTTAGCCTGTCCTCTTTCTGTAGCTGAAGTACCTTCTGCTGTAAAATGAAAACCACGCATATATTTCTCAGATTAGATAGTGATGCAGTTATATGTATCTTAATGCCATTGCTCTGCTCTCTGAAGGACATAACTGTGCTTTTTTCTGTTAACAAAGCCTGTCTGTATAATTGTACCATTACAAACAACATTAAGCTCTTTAGAGCATCCCATCAAATGGTAACACAACCTAGAGCTCTAACACTTTGAATGCTAATGTTTTTAATTTCCCTTCTGTGATTTGGCTTAAGTCAAGGGGACTGTATTTGTGAATAAACATGTACTTAGAAGCTTTCAGGGCCAGAAATTAAATAAGTAATTAAGAAATCCCCTTATTCCATACTTTCTTTCCACAAGAAACAATTATATCCCTTGCAAAAAAGAAAGCTACTTGAATCGACAGCTAGCAAGTACACCTTTCACCACTGTGAGATAGGTTCCTGCCCAACTGGAGCGGGGAAAGAAAGAAGGAAAAAACAGGCTCATCAGCTTTAGTTTTTTAAAAATTCCCTTGCATGTTAGTTGTTCCACATCACTCCAGAGGAAACATTACAGCTGATGCGAAAATGTGTCTATCTGGTTCTAGTCTGACAGTCTAATTCTCTATCCTCCAGAGTCAGCAGTCAGCTGATCTGAAATTAGTTAATTCAACTTTCTTCTTTCACTTTTTTCCTCAGAAAATAAGAATCACAATGAACCATTTATTAGAAAAAAAGAACAGTAATAAGCATATGGCATTTTTCATCCCACAAATTATGAGCTTATTCTGCAACTTCGAAGTCAATAGCACCTTTGACTTCGATGACTGAAAGGTGAAGAACGTGGCTATTTTGTCTGTATGTTAATAGTCATCTCTAGTGCAGAAGACCACCATCAGATGGTACATCAGAGGGAGAAGAGAACATAAAAAAGGTCACTAAGGCAAAAGCCCAATCTTTACCCAAACTGAAACATCTTCAGTGTCCACAAGCAGAAGACACAATCTCACTTTTTAAGTTTTAATACAAAATCATTAAGGAAAAAAAGCACCAAGTAAAAATCTTATCACTATTTAATGTTCCTCCAAGTTGGGAACCTTGCCTCCTGTAGCTACGGTCTACACTTAAAGCAACACAAACATACCATAATACCTCCTAGAAATCACACTAAGCATTCCATATTGACACTGATATGGCACAGATTTGACCAAACATTTCCCTGTACTACCCCCCTTTGTTATAATTAAAGCAGAAAGGTGTATTTATTTCTACATACTGCCACAGGTAAACTTTGAAGACAAGAATATAAAAAAGATTTCTGCATTACCTGCAACTATTTGAAGACCACCTTTAATCATTCCCAAAACCAGAAGGCAAAGAAGAATTTTCCAAATGGAGCCAAACATACTTATCTGTGGCAAAAAAAAAACTAAAACAAAAAAATATGCAAGGAAAATAAAAAAAAAAAAAAAAAGAAAATCCCCTTTAGCAACAGAGCTGTTGTCTTTAACGTATCCTTGAACCAACCAAGAGCATTGCCCTTCTTGAAAATATCTTGACGTCACATATGATTATCTTTGGAAAAAACATTAGGCAAAAAAAGTCAAACAAGACATCCCGGGAATGTTCTTTTCAAAGACAGTATTCTGCTTTAATGAAGAAACAAGAAAAGGTGATGGAAGTAAATTCCTTGGAGCTAGCAGATGGACTGAGACAATTTTTTAATTTTAATCTGGCCAGCTAAGCTCTTTACCAGAGCTTGTCATACCATTAACAGACAGTCCAAACAAGGACAGCACCTTTCACATTTAATTAACCATGTTTGTTCACTGGCCCTTCAATTTCTGCCCTTTTTTAAAATCATGCTGACCAAAAAACATCTAAGGGAGCACACTAGTCTCCACTGGAAGGTGTCAGCGTGTTTTGTCTTCCGCTTGTACAAATACACATACCTAAAAATGCACTGACTCACTTAAACACCAATGGCATATGTAGATACCACCAGAACAACCGTTCTGTAGGACTGGTTTTTTCTGGTGACAGAGCTAATACAGCCCTGCTGCATGAGTCTGTGCTAAAGGATAAAATCTTGTTGCGTTACACCACTGTCCCTTGCATCCCAGCAGTGGTGCTTCCCCCAGAGATAAACCCAGGGCAAGTTGGGATTCTTTCATCTCTGTTCAGGTATTATCTGACATGAGCAGTAGGAAAAATTTAGTACAGACACCTGAAGAGATGACCGGCTAAGAAGAACTGCAGAAAGGACAAAGTGCAGGAAAGCAGCAGTACACAGCTCCCCTCCTGTCCAGGGTCAGCTCATTGTGGAAACGTGTATGGAAGCTGTCCTGCAATGGCAGACTGCATCCAGACCACAAGAAAAACCCCGTCAGGGCTGCCTCCTGCGTGGCGTTACTCAGGACTTGCTGGCTACTGCGTTCAGATCAACCTGAGCAAACTGCTGGTTTGTCTGGAGTGACTATTTTTGGTCGTGGTTTTGCATAAATATTTCAAAGCTGGATTCCCAAGGCTTCCCAGATGACAGTCTGCGGAGCATTTGCACAGAGCTCCTTAGGTGTAACAGTGCTGACTCCTCTTTTCTAGCTGCTCTGCTGAACTCTCGGCAATTCAGATAACACTGGTAATTCCTGGTATTACACAGAGGACATTCACAGGAATCAAACAAAACTACCTTTGCTTTTAGTCTCTGCCTTCTAACATCTAACAGACTCTAGTTGATATTTTTCAAAACAACAAATTTTCCTTTTTTTTTTTTTTTTTTTCCCTCTTCCCACTACTGTATTACACTTTAAGTTAAACCACTGAACTGCTCTAACACTCCCAGTTTTCTTAGTATCAGACATTTCGGATCTATCAAACCAAGACTGTTCACCTACGCTGGCTCTGTCAAGCTAACTACAATACTGACAGCAGCACCAAATCCAGTACACCACACCGGAGCTGTGAATTGAACGATCCTGATGATACAAGGCACAGGAAAAACACTGAATTGGTGCTTATAAACTGTTCTGAAGTCCTATTCAGCATCTCTAGGTAGAGCAACTTTTGAGGCTGGATTGGGTACCTTCATTATGATCCTGAACTCAACAACACAGCCCAACTTTTTGTTTTTAATCCTCTGCAGAGGCTGGTGCTTTCAAAGTCATGAATGTTTTTGGTTGCAGTACCCTGCAAAAATGCAGCTGAATCAAGATTAGAAATACTATACACACTTATAAAGGCAACAGTTAACTTACCTCAAGAATGCATGACAACTAATCTTCTTAGAAAAAATTCTCAAGAATATCTGTGCTTCAGTAAGAGTATGAAATCCAATTAAAAGTTTTCCTGGAGAGTTTTCAGATTTATGTCATTGTGGCTTTTTTTATCAGCAAAGTATTCTAAGGCACTCATAATGTGAATAGTATAAAAACTACCTGCTTTATATCTCTGTCAAAATTAATCTTCTATGGTATGGCTATGTCAGCTTCTGTGCGATTAAATATTTTTAAACATTTACATTCAAGTTTATTTAGTTCAAGCTATCAATTTTAAATTCAACACTGATTTCAGCACTGAAATTCAGATTTATAACAGCTGAACATCTCCTACATTTATGATATCAAAAGTCATAACTAAAAGCACAATCATCAGTGAAAGCTTCTTTAAACAAGCAAATCTCTTGCAGTAGATTTACAGAATGACCTTGGCAAGTTAACTCCTCCATTGATTTGACTAAAAGCCTCTACAATAGTACTCTGAATCAGAAGATGCCTATTTTTTCATTTCCAGCAGCCAAATTGTACCTGTTCATAAGTATTCAGGAAAAGTATATTCTTGCTGGGGAAAAAAAAAAGGAAGTATAACCTTAATGATTTAACATGCCAAAGTCACATCAGTATCTCCAGAAATAAAAAGACAATTTTCTGCCAATTTTCATTTCTGAAAAGAAAGGACATGCACTTTCATGTAGCAAATGTGATAAGCTGAATTATAGTTTTCTACAAGGGTAATGGTCACCAAAATTCTACTACAGCACACATACTGTTCTAGATAATTGGTTTTCAAATGTAATTTCTTCAAAAGTTAAACCCATTTATCTGTAACTAAAAAAAAAAAAAAAGGGGGGCAAAATATATGTTTACTCCAATGAAAATGCCTCTAATGAAAACCCACATGATGGCAGGCACTCCTTATCTCCAAGCTCACACAACTTAATACCACCATTACAAATTGTCTCCTGTGACTGGACTACAGCAACTGACTTTATGGCATTTGATAGGATTCACCAACAAAATTCCCAATCAGTTCAGCTGAGACAATTAGGTTAGACAAAACCTTTTCACTTGTTCGGTTCCTGTGGCCAAGCATTTCATCATTACCACTTCTTGCTTGTGCTCCTGGAGAATTCTCTGGTGAACTGTCTCTCAAGAATAAGCAATATCAGAGGCTGTTTAGCATTCCAGCTCCGCAAATTCAGCCCAACATAGCCTGTTGTACTGCCATCTCTTCTATCATGTAGTATTGTAAAGTATTAAGAACAAAAAAATCAGGAAGTGAGGTCAACGAAATTAATGTAATACTTTATTACCTACTCTCTCCATGTAATGTAAACCTATTGTCAGCAGTCCTCCTTTTCTGAACTGTTGATCAGATAAGTTTCTCTTACCTTGTTCAACACTCAAAGATGACCCCGGTGCCTGTGCTTTGTCTTTGAACAGTGTTTCCAACTTGGTCGGACAGAATTATTGCTGTTGGTTTTTATTCGACCATTAATGGAAACATTTTCAATCCTGAGACCTTTCAAGTCTCATTCTAAAATTCTTGCTTTTCCATCTAGAAACCAGAATCTTTTTGGGGGGTGTTGCCAGAAGCGATATTCTGCCTCCCTGTCATAATCAAGATAAAAGTGTTACTACTGTGTCTTTTAAGTTTTTATTATTTTGTAAAGTGTAATATTGAGTAGTGCAAGCACACTTCAGAGTCAAAATTTAGGAGGCAAGTCCCACAAAAGGACAGATGGACTGCGATGAAGCTATGCCTGCAATTCCAGACAAAAACACAGCAGTCCACAGATGCTTTTTAAAAAGCACACTTGCAGTTTCATGATTCACTTCTCCAACTCTTGATGAAAACTAGGGGGATTTTTCTATTTTTCCTCAAAGATTTACTTCCTACAAGTTACTTCTCTTCCACCTTGTTTCATGTGTCTTGCTTGCCAACAGTAAGTACCTTAAGTGGATCTCCATGACTCAGATTTCTTCATGGAAGCCAGTTTCTGGTCCCACACAGCCAGAAGATAACGGTTTCTTTTAAAGAAATTGATAGCTACATTTAGCACTTCTAGTACAATTCGTTGCCTTGAAACCAAAATCACACAGTGTAGGGTTGAGAGCCACACAAAGACTGGTTTGCTATCAAGTATCACACCACTCCAGCATTTCAGTTAAACAGGCACTAATACAGGAAACTGAGATGCAGCTGTGCAAAAACATCCCTGAGTCAGTCTGGTGCCTTATATATGCTAAAAGTTATCTTTGATTAGTCCTAGCAACTAAAAAGTAAGCACAAAGGTACCTGGAGCATAACTTTTTCCAGAGACACTGCCTAGCATTCACCATGTATCCTGTTAAATGCAGATGGCTGGAATGGGGTGGGTTGTGGCTGGTGGTCCCAGGCATTTCACAGCCTAGTAATTCAGGCTGCCAAGACTGTCAGCCTAACTGCAGAAAACAGCTCTGAGGCTCCTGGGTCAAAAAGCAGCCTTGATTGCCACAAGAAGCTGTGAACTAGCTGCACGTGCCTTTATAAGGACTGGAGAACAAATAATCACTTTGATACAAATTTGGGTTAAGAGACACATACTGTGTGTATACCTTAAAAGCAGTAAGGTGGCCTATCTTACACTTAGCTCACTGGCCATTTGTAGCAGCTGGGAAAAGAATGGCAGCAATCACAATCAGCAACTTCTGGAGATCATTTTAATATCAAATGTATTGGCATTCAGGTAGCACATATCTAATAAATCTGCAAAGGCAATCCTTTAACCTTATAAAACCAATTTAGAAAAGTTTATACATGACTTTTGCTTTTAAATATCTATAAACTAATATAAAAAAAAAAAAAAAGAACAAATTACTTTATGAAGGCCCAAACTATTTTTCAGAAGGGAACACTGAAATTATTCATCAATTAAAAAGGTCTAGAGAAAGGGCACACATTTCCACATTTTATCCTTCATCTGTCTTACAATAAATACACAGACTATCCCTGTAAGTAACGCTGATGACGTGATTTAGGTGATGAAAGCCACAAAAACTCTGGGATGAGGGGGACAGATGTTGGTGGCGGGTTAGTGACAAACTACAGAACTAAAGTAGAAACAAAGAGAAAAAAAACATACAGTAATTGTGCTAGGCTGCTCACAGCTATACAGAAGGTAACTGCGCTCAGCAAATTATCTCTGTTTAAAATTGCCTCTCTTCTCCAGAAGGAATGCTTCCTGGTTTGAGAAACAATGGTGGGTGAGTGTTTTTTTTATGACTGTACAGAACCTGAAGTAGTAACTGGATTTTCCAAATGCTAGGTTTTAGAGATGTCCTGAGGGAAGGGGCCCTGAGAATTCTGCAATGCCATAAAAACATTCACATCCTTGGGTTGCCCTCAGTTTTTATTTTTACTCTCCAGCCTACTTCCAGCTTTAAAAGCTCTGGTTTTGTAGATATGTTTACAACACAGGTGGTTCTGGTGGTTATCTGACATGTGGTCCCTTCCAAAGGGTGCAATGACACTTAAGTTTACTTACAGTGGGGACCAGGAGAAAGCATCCTCTTAAAACAGTCACCTTCTATCATGCAGTAACTACATAAAAAAGTGTGCACATGTCAAAATGTTATTAAAGTTTTATGTGATCACTCCTTGAAGAAAAACTACATAAATACGTATTTAGAAAATAATAAACCTGTGCTTGTTTATCAAATCAAGTCCAAGTTCAAACATTCAAATATTCACACATCTTTACTCAATCCTCCTGAGAAAAGTATAAATCCTGTTTGTCTTTTATGTAAAGTACTTATCTTAAAGACACATTATATATAGCATAATGACCTTTTTGAATGAAAATGGCCTTATTTTTCAGTAAAACACTTCAAACTTCTGAGGTTGTTAAGCCACAAAGTGCTTGCTCTTCTAATGCAAGTGATGACA